GTTTTTGGTCGGGGCTTGCAGGACTGGGAATTGGATGATTATGGGCTGCTTTTGACGTCTTTATACGCGGTACATATCACGGCGGGAGAAGGTAATTGTAGTAGATGGAGGTTGAGACGAGATGGTATTTTTTCAGTTCGCACTTATTTTAAATCTTTATTGGGACTTGTAGAGGGTTCATTCCCCTGGAAGATGGTTTGGAAATGTAAACTGCCCAAGCGAGTGGCATTTTTACTATGGACGGCAATCAGGGGACATGTGTTAAGGGCGGATAACCTTCGTACAAGGGGCTTCTTTGTTACGGAGTGGTGCTATATATGTACAAGGAATGGAGAAACGATTGACCACTTGTTCCTTCATTGTGATGTTGCTCGTTTACTGTGAAATGATATTTTGGCGTCGCAACACATGGATTGGGTGTTGCCGAGGCGTATGGAGGACATGTTAAAGGCTTGGAGGAAAAAGTTTCGAGATGAGGATAGCAAATTTGTTTGGGACCTTATTACGGGTTACATCGTCTGGTGTGTGTGGAGAGAGAAACAGTCGTTGTTATGAAGATCAATCACGGACAATAGAGCAAAATAAGGAATTGTTTTATTTGACATTGTATATTTGATTTAATGCTGCAGCTCTTAGGCACATAGACGGACTGCCTAATTTCATGTTGTTACTTTCTGACTTAATTTGATAATGCACTTCATGTGCATTATGCATTGACTACTAAAATTATTGATTACCTTAAAAAAAACATGGACAAAGAGTTATACCTAATTTAATTTGTCGAAAGTAGTGACATCTTTAGTCTCTTGTTTGGTTTGCCAAAAATCCAAGTAAACACATTTGATTTATCATTGGAGACATGAAACTCTCTTCTGATAACCCTGTGAAAGCCAAAAGGTGATGATCGGAAACCATAAAAATAAGTGGGAAAAACTTGAAACCTTTTAGCTAGTTCTAAATTCTATTCCCTTGACAATTTTAAGAAACAGAAACGCACAATTCCCTTGATAGTTACCTTGATTTGTTTTATGAAAACAATTTTTTTGGAAGAAGACATAGTGAGAGAGAGACAGAGAGACAATGGCGTTGGAGAAGGTAAGTATATGAAATGATATGCAGAGTAATATGTAAAAAAAAAAAAATTGGGTGAGATTCATTGAATTCAAGTACTTCTTTTCATCTTACTTTTTTATGTTTATGAGAAAATTTCAATTAATTATATGTTTATAGATGGATAAATGAATTAATTAATTAAAGGAATGTAATTTTAAGATATTTTATATATTATAATGTTATTAGTACAAAATGAAGTTAGATTAAGAAGATTGACTACAGACATCATTGACAAATGACCAAAAAATATAAGGGCAGAAGTGGAAACTAAATGTTTCTCAACCATCCACAC